AAGCAATAAATTGTCAGCTATCATCTCTCTGCAGCCGTCCCTGAGTATAGCCCTTACTGAGCAACAATCTAAAGCATTAGAGTCATGTGGGAAGCTTCCAGAAGAAAAATGATGTAAGTTCTGCTCCAGAGAGGTTTCCCCACATGATAAACAAATATCATAGAAAATGCAACTATTTATATTCCCCCACCTAGCAAAGAGGTGATAGCTAAGCACCTTCGTGGTCTACTTAAACTTACAAAATGGCTAGTGAATAAACTGGAAAATTCTGAGTCTTTTCTTTGAAAAGACTACGTAACTTTAGGATTTCATAAAATTTTTCCTATGATGAATGGTAATCAATGCTGATTACTGCACATAACTTTACAAGCATTTTTTTAAAGTCAGCTTTGAATTTAGGATTTTATTAATTCCTCTGAATTAATATCCCAGGACTCAGTGGAATGTTGGTAGGGAGGAAGTCTGGAGTAGAATAATTTATTTAAGATTTTCCCATTGTTTTCAAATGATTGATTTACACAGAGCTTGAGCAGGTTAGCTCAGTTGGACACTTCCAATGAGTACCCTCACCTGCAGATTAGGTGCACTGCACAAGTCCGATCCAGACAGAGCTGTCTAGCAAGAGAAAGGGTCCAGTTATTCTCAGAGACTAAGAGAAGGTTATCAACAGGGCCAGTGGACTGATAGGGACAGAGATCAAGAGAGAGACACTAAGACTAAGAAGGCAGCCAGCAAAATACTTCATTAAATTTCCAAGTCCTCAAGCCATCTAGTTTCGCTCCCTCAGAAACTACTGAATCAGGCTCTAACCTCAAGGTAAAAAGCCCAGCTATTCATTTTGCAATCGGCTCATGTCATTTACTCTTAAGAGAGAGGTGCTGGGGTTGATCTGATCTGCTACTCTGCAGATTTTTTAAAAAAGAAATTCTTTAGTAGCATGCCATAGGTGTAATGAGAAAAATATCCTGAGAAGTAGGAAGAAGAGTCTATATTTCAATGTCAGAAGCATGAAAGGAGTGGAATAAAATAAAATCGGGGATAGGCAGCACTCGAGGAAGCTGCAGACAAAGAGAAAATGGTGGAGATGGGGTTAGAGAAAGATCTCCTTTTACCCTCTCCAGTCAAGCTCATGAAACCATTTTTCTTTTGTTTTTCAGTTTTCAGAATTATGATTTCAGCTTCGATGGTAAAAGAAGCCCCTTTCTTTGCCACAACCAGCCTGCATTCTGATCCCTGCTTGAACATAGTTCCAAATGAAACCAGTGGTGTTGATATAATCATTGTTAATAACAATAAAAGTATTAATAATAAAACTGTCTACATTCAACTCACATGATCCCACCAAGGTTGGTTACTATACATGTACGAGTCAGGAGACCAAGGAATTCTTAGTTTTAAAAGCATATATATACACATAATATGAGAAAGTTATTATTAATATTAACGAAGAAAATTAAATATGCCAGCAAATTCAATATATTATTTTACAGTTTGCAGCTCAAAGAGTGAAAGTTTGATAAGGTAAAACCAGTGCTGGGAAGAAAGCACCCCAAAGTAACCCTGCAATTGGAAGGCTGAAAGCTTCTCTGAAAACATCCCCCACCAATGTGTTAACCTTTGGCTGTGCTGAGAGAGATAGTCTGTGGACAAGCAAGAGGGTCCTTCTTTGGCTACCTCCTGTATATGTTTACAAATAGGGTGCACTCAGTGTGGCTATTTGGGTCTCATGTTCTGATTACTTGGAGCCAGATATCAGAAACTGAGGCCCAAATAGCAAAATTTTGCTTTACAAAACAGATAAATTAGTCTTTATAAGATAGACATAAAAAGCTGCTTGACAATTGGGGAGGGGAGCAGAAATAAAAGAAGGAATTGATAAAATTCCATATTTTGAAAAAAGGTAATAGCTAAAGACAGGACTCTCCAATCTCAAAGCACTACTAAAAATATTACCTATTATGGAGACTGGAGTGCACAACCAAGAGAAAAATTAAAATGTTCTTTTTGCATTCTGGATAATTTCTCTAAATCCCAACTCTACATGGTCTCCTTTCGGCCCCAACTCCCAAGAAAAAAATGTTTGCCATATTATTGTGCTTCTTGCTGAGATATGAAGGGGCCTACATCTGTCAAGTGGACCAGTGGTCAGCTAAAAAAGTTGTATAGTCTTGTTTGATCTCTGAGAGAAGACAGATCCATAAAATATCATCGGGGTCGCAAACAAGCTTCATCACTTTTTATTATTCCTTCTGTTCACAAACCACATTCTAAATTAAGTAAAAATAGGACCACTGCTGTCTTCTGACCTTCTTTGAGCAGAAACATTGTTGATATATAAGAACATAGAGTTACTGCAGCAGTAACTAAAGTTTTAAAAAACCCTCCACTTAACCAACTAATGTACATGATACACACACATACACAAACACACACACTTGGAAAAGAAGGAACCTAACAAGTTATTGGAAGCATTCTAGAATTTTGAGATTTTTAAACTCAAATTTAGCACATAATACACACAATACAGAGGGAAATAAAAAACTGACTTTGGTTTTTAAAGTCCCTTTGTATTTCACCAAACTGTGCTCTTAAAAAGTGAGGGAAAGAAAGAGAAAGTAAGAAAACATTTCAACTTTTAAAGAGGGATTCTGATTAAATTGTTTAATTTCCCAAAAAAGTAACTTAAGGATTTTGTATATTCTAGAAATGAAAATTATTTGTCAACCCACACGACAGGAACATCAGTTTTCCCTTTTACTGAACTCCTTATAGCCAGTGCAGCAATTAAATTCAGGAAAGATTAAATAATTTAAAAAAATTTATTCAGGTTCTGCTAAATTCTTATAATTGTGCTCATTAATTTGAACAGTGTCAAGGAGGCAGTATGGTATGATGATCTTCCTAATAGAAAAGTTTTTCCATTAAGATTTGTGATAAAATCACCAAGCTTACCTTATACCTGATGGGAAGAACTCCCTGCTCTGCAGCCGCTCACTGAAAATTTAAGTTGTATTTTCAAAGACACTTATCCCTAAACAAATATGTAGAACTACTAGTTTCCTCCCTGTTGAGTGAATATCAACATACCTCTCTCCCAACAGGGGAGAATTATACAGAATATGGAAGGTTTCAGTGACTCGATTTAGCATCACAGTAGGTCAAGAAGCAGCTTAGACAATTTCCCCTTGGAAAAAAAATTACAGTAGAAATGGAACTCTGTTCTCTAATGACAGCCCCCCAAAAATTAACCCTACCAAGTAAATCTGTTCTCATAAAATGAAGAAGACCTTTTATCCCACAGCATAACCCATTGCAAAAATAAACACCGTAAATTATCTAGAAAATACTTTGATGATACCAAAAGAACACTTTGAAAATCCAGTAAGCCAAACCTTAAAAACCCAATAAGATGTAAAGCCTGATAAGAAGCTGTTTCTTCAACAATACAGAAAATAGTATTTTATGAACTCCTATCCTCCTTTTTCTCTCTTTGACCCTGTGCTATCAACCTTCCAAGAATAGAATCATCAATGAAAGGAGGCAAATTGTTAGATTTAAGTCATCAAACAAATATGCTAAGTCTAACCAAAAAAATCTGGAGAAGTCATAGATAAAATAAAATTGCTACAGAAACATAAAGTAAGACAGAAGTCCAAGGGACTTCAGCACCTGAGAAATCCGAAGAATTAATTCCCCAATCAATACTTCCTCTCTCACCAGATAAACGAATATTTTAACTTGGTAGGGGTGGGGGGGAAGATCTTCAACATGGTCTCCAAGAAGCTCAAAAACTTCAGTGAAGAAAATACTTTAATAAACAAGATGAAATTGCTGGCCACATTTCTCATGTCCTAATTAAAACTCAGGCAAAATTATAGAACATAGGTTACTTAACAATCCTTACTCCATTTATTAGCAGTAAAACTCATGTTTTAAAATGCAAGCACGTTCTTGAAATGAAGTATTATAATAAAGAGCCTTACTCCTACCTCCCCAATACAGATTTTTTAGCACACTGGAATAGCAGGAAATGCTTTACAAATTTTTTTTTTCCCAACACTTTTACAAGTCAGACTCAAATCTAGTAACATTGTTCATTAAAAGAACATTCATCTCTTTATACATCTGAAGCAAACCTGCAGTAGGGGGCTGTGGATCTGTTATAATCCACAGGGAAAATAAACACTTTACAAGAGACAACCGACCCAAGAAGTAACTACTTCTAACATAAGTCAACCAATGCTGAGAAACCTGTGAGGGTAAATCTTGTCCAGTCTTTACCAAGAAAGTTGCCCTTTTACTCGCTCCAAATGTTCCTGGTTGGATTCTCTTTGCTGACCTCCCAACCCTGGAACACATCCCCAGTTGCTTCCAAGGAAGGGAACCTCACTCTTTCACACAGAGGCCTCAGCACCCAAAGGCTTTTTGCTTCCCTAACCCGGAATTCCGTTTTATCCTTTTGGAGGAGGCGGGCTAGGAAACACTTGGTCCAGCACTTTTACCTCTATTTTGTCAAGACCGGCCATGCACAGACTGGAAGGTGAACACTAGCAGACCCCAAGAGGAAAAAACTGTGGTCATTCTGATGGAGGTTACAGGACTTTGAGAGAAGGAGGTAAAAGGGAGTGGCGGGCTTAAGGGCTTTATTTGTGAAAGAGTCCAGTGTAATCGAATTTTAATTTAAAGCCTGTGGAACCTGGAGTACCAGACGGTAATGAGGATTTTAGATGGTCAGGGGAGTTGTGGAGGAATATGAAAGGGCTTGAACCAGCACCCAGTGCGCACAGCAGGTATTCAGATGCTCAGGTCCAAACTTTGGCGGGCTCAGAGTCCCTGGGAGGGCTCCAGATTTAGTGCAGCCCTTCCTAAGGAACCAGTCTGAGTTCTGCCAAGGTTAGTAGAAATGCTCGCGTGGGAAGGAGTGGCTAGCTATCTTAGAATGCATAGCGAATCTGTGCCCTGAGCCTAGAAAGGTGACGTTTTGGGGAGGAGAAACTTACCGCATGTCCCCGTAAGGTCCAGAGTAGCTCTCCATCCAGGGTCCCATCTCGCTTTTGACACAACTGGGACTGGGATAGGGCACTCTGCTCACCACGCCGCCAGGGTACCACACATCGGGTGCAGAAAAGTCGCTCTCCTGTCCTGCCAACCCCTGAGGTGGTCGAGTGTAGCCATAGGGGGCTACAGCCCCTGCCTCTCCTGCACTGCCGCCGCTGCCTGCGCCGCATGGTCCATACAACTGGCCTTCTTCTACTGAGAAGAGAGTGTGCCAGGAAGAGGAGGTGGCTGCTGAGGGCGATCCGGAGCTGGGTCCCGCGGCACCTCCGCCATGCAAGCTTCCCAGGTCCCCATAGCGGCACTGCGCCGCGGCTGCTGCCCAGGCACTGCTATAGTCTAGCGGGTTCTCCAGCTTGATGCGGGCGTGCGGATGGGGAGGTGGTGGAGGGGGCGGCGGCCCAGCCAGGGCCAGCGGAAAGTTGTAGTAGTCGCGACTCTGGTACGCTGCCGCTTCGTCCAATGCTCCGGACTTGTAGAGAGACAGAGTGGACGGCAGCTCAAGTGTCCCTGAGCTCCCTGCTTCGCTGCTGCCAGAGCAGCCCAGGCCCTCGCCGTCCAGCCCTTTGGCATAAGGTCCCTTGAAAGAGGAATACTCAGCAATCTCTTCAGTGCCCTTTCCTGGGCCGTCGTCCAGCAAAGAACCTTTGCATTCGGCCAGCGGGGCACAAGGAGTGCTACGCACAGCGGGCGGACCTCCCAGGAGCGGCGCGTACATGCAATCTCCCCGAAGCTGTTCCCCAGGACTCAGATGCTCCAACGCCTCCACACCCAAGCCCATGGACACTGACACCGCCTTACACAATTCCTTTGCGCTGTCAGATATGGTCGAGTTGCCCCCTAGGTAACTGTCCTTAGAGGAGGCGGGAGCCCCAGCGGCCTCCCTAGCTCTCCCGCTGCTACCATCGGATACTACCTCCTGCTGCTGCTGTTGCTGTTGCTGAAGGAGTTGCATGGTGCCGGCCTCGCTTAGGATGTCTTTAAGGTCGGCGGAGCAGCTGCTTAAGCCCGGGAAAGTGGGCCCCAGCAGGGACAGCGTGGATGGGGCAGCTGAGTCATCCTCGTCTGGAGGTGCTGGCGGCGGCTGCGGCAGCCCCTTGCCGGCGGCGGTAGCAGCTCCTGGCTCTGCGAGACAGCCGCTCTCGGGGTGGCCCTCGGGGGCTGACTGCTGTTGTGAAGGCTGCTGTTCCTCGTCCAGGGCCAGGTAGCCTGTGGGGCCTCTGATGTGGGCTTGGGGAGAGCCATTCTCACCCTGTTGCTGCTGCCGGGGGCTGCTCTCCTGCTGCTGCTGCAAACGGGCGCCGGGAGGTGCTGTGCTGGAGGCCTCAGGGTGCCGGGGGCCCGGGTTCTGGATCACTTCGCGCACGCTCTGGAACAGATTCTGGAAAGCTCCTCTGTAGGTCTTGGACGGAGGTCGGGGGTAGACCCTCCCGAGTCCTAACTGCACCTCCATCCTTAAACTAAGCTGAATCTTCCACTTAATTCCCTTACCCTGTCTCCCTTTTTCTTACTCAGAAGAGTTCAACAGGCTGAGATGATGTGGTAGTCGCTGCAGTTAGGTGTCCACCAGCGGGAAGCTCCAGGGAAGAAAACTTGCAGGAGCAAAAAAAACAAACCAAACCAAAACACACAAACAACAACAACAATTAAAAAAAAAAAAAAAGCGTTCTGACAGCCTCAAAGTCCTGTGTTGAGGAAAACACTCGCTGGACACAATCTGCCCTGCTAGGCTTACAGTCTGTTTCAAAATACTTGAATGACAGATTCAAAAGATGCTCAAATCTTGGGGGGAGGGAGGTCCTCTGCTTTCCAAATTCAATGTCCAGTGAAGCAGGTGCAAATAAAAATTGGGTTATTTTCTTTTTGTTTTGTTTTGGCTTTGTTTGGTTTTGTTTTCAACTACTGAAGCCCTGCCATTTCATCTTTTGATCTCTGGCTCTGCACTCACGGGGGCGGTGGGGGGGCAGCAGGAGGAGGTAGAGGGGGATTGTGGGGAACCAAGGGGCCCTCCCTGCGTGCTAAGGAGTCAGGTCCTGGCTGCAGTGCTGAAGCGCTCCCCAGTCGCCCAGATCCCAAGAGCTTTCTTTGCAACGTGCAGCTAGCTCGCTTGCTCACAGCCAAAGGGAGTTACCTCTCTGCAAACTGGCTGGCAGAGCTGGGCCGACGGGGTTGAAGGGGAGAGGGTTTGTGGGAGGGGGGACAGACCGAGAGTAGCTGGCGGAGGCAGCTGCGGGAGAGGAGACCTGGGGTGGGGGTGGGGGGTTGAAGGGGAGGAGGACAAAGGCAGCCGTCAGTCCTACCCGGCACTTTCCTCGTTTCCTCCGAGTCTCTAGCAGCTTTTAGAAACTTCGCCGAAGAGGAAAGTGCAGCTCCGGGGCGGCGGCTTCGAAGCCGCTGAGCTGCAACAGGCGTTGGCTGTCGCTGGAGCCGGGCTGGGGTGGCGCGGTGCGTCCCTTCTGCTCCTGTACGGTACTGGAGCGGCTAGCTAGATCTTTTTCCCTCCGTCGCCTCCTCTGCCTCCAGGTTTGCTCCGGACCCTCCGTGTCTCCCAGCAGGCTGGCTCCCCGGGATCTCGGAGGGGGCGCTGGGAGGTGGAGAGCAAATGCAACAGTTTGCGAGTCGGTCCCGCCCCCGCCAGGCCGGCCTCCTAGTCTTCCCACTCCTTTCTCTCTCCCCTCCCCTCTCCTTTTCTCCCCTCCCCTCACCGCAAGCTATCGCCCAGTGGCTCTGGAGAAACAAGTGCTGGCATAGCGTGGGTGAGGGCAGGAGAGGTTCGCTGTAGCCTCGGAGGACCCCTGCTCCTGGAATACCTCTTACTTTCCTATACCGGGCTTCAGGAGCCGGGCCAAAAGCTTTAACCTGGAGCTTTATTTTGAGGACAGGGCTATGGGATCTCCTGAAGGCCAGCACTCAACACATTTGAATCCAAAGCCCAGTACCAAATCAGAGGCTTGGGGTGGTGAGGGGAAGGGGCTACAGGAGCACGATGAAAATATTGTCTCCTACAAATTAAGGAGCAAGCTACAGCCTAGCCCGCTGGTACTTGCTGAAACCTTTGCGATTACCACATGGAGCTAGACTGGGCCTCATGGCAGGGTGCCATTTGCTCTGGGAACCCTAGGCCCTAGAAACCAGAGGTCATTCCTGCTGTATTCTCTGACCTCTTCCTGTCTAGAATTGCCTCTAACCAGCAGTTCACACCTATCCAAAGTTGCACAGTACAAAAACACTCAAACAGGCAAACACGCAAAACACAGCAACTGCTTGCCATTTACATGTGGACCCTTGATTTTGTCCAGAGCTTTGCAAATGTTTGTTTGTATTCTTGGAGTTTCCAAGATGTCTTTGCATATTTTAAACTTTTGAACTGTACTATCCAAGGAATAGAACCTATGTAGGGCTGCTTTTCTTCCTCTTGTTTGGCAGCTAAGGGTGGAGAGTGATGTGGGACTGCAACTCTCCTTCCAGAGGAGTTTCACAGCCCCTGTGTAAAGATGGAGCGGAGGTGGGAATGTAACAATAGAGGAAATAAAAGGGAAGACCTATAAGCAATGCTTTCTCACAGGAAGGCCTTTGGCCTCCCTAGCTTTTATATTCCTTAGACCACTGTGTCCCAAAAGGCTTATGTAGATTTTTCCCTAAGACTTGAATATTACAGACTTCTAAAGAGAAAAGAGGGATTGCTGCTTTATCTTGCTCACAGGGAAGTATTATGGGCATTACTTACTTGACCAAAAGAGGTAACTGAAATCGAAAGGCAAAAATGAGTGGACATGATCAGCTCTATCTCACAGATGAACAAGTAGAAGCAAGGACATAATTTGTTCTGTGTTCCATAATAGTAGAACCTGAGCCAGCCTTCTTCATTATTTTAGCTCGACCTGTCAATCTCCTGGGCACTTGGTAAATGGCTATAAATGAACATTCCAGAATACTAAGGCCTGAGGACCCTTTCACCTGAGGAGGTGAAACATTGTCAGCTTAGACATTAATAGCTACAGACCTCCCTGGACATATGCCAATAATACCCCCCCCCCCTTTTTTGATGAAGACTCACAAATCCCTCCCTGTGGTAAAGAAGCAGTCTTACAATCCATATGATGCCAAATTGTAATATGCCTAAATTCCATTCCTTATGGTAATGGGAAATAGGAATATATAACTCAAATGCACAGACATTTTGTAACTTTATTTGAATGATCATCACAACCTCAAGCCCACCAAACTTTTAAACTAGAGTTGCTCAAAGGGAATTTAGTCAGCTGGAAGTATGGTAGGATGACTTGAACATAGATCTCAGAACCAGAAGAACTACTTTTCTGAGGTCTGACAATAAAGTGAGGTGTTAATGGCAGTGAATGAACAATGCAAGATGGAGGAAGGAAGTTAGAAGAAAAGAGGCATGAACAAATTAAGAAGAGGAATATTTTTCCTAAGTTACCTTTTGAATAAATGGCAGCCAAACCTACATCTGAAGAAGTCTAAAGTTTATGTTGTCTCTATAGCACAAAAATTGTCTTCACTTTCCTCATCAGAAAATTGTAGCCAATATTACTTACCTTTAGAAGGCTGATGTAGCAATTTAAAGGTATCATATACACAGAACAAATTTATAAATAGGAAAGCATTCTAAAAAATGTAATGGATCACATTTTTAAAAGTAGAGCAAACTATTCACAAGTGTTATAAGGAAAGTTAACTACTTTGAGCATATTAGGGACATATGCATACTTTATTTGAAAGTTTTGAACTCTGATCCAATGTCTTCAATCTTATTTTCCTCCCATTGTTTTAAGAAGATAAACAGGCATGTATTTAAGAATATTACAAAAATTCAGTATTTATATCAGCTTTCTTCTTTCTCCTCCCCCTCCATTTGCAATTTTTAAACTGTAATAGATTTAGAGGTGTGCTCTCAGGTTGGTCTAGTTGAGAGTAAGTTCTGCTATGGGTGTCTTTGCAACTTCAAGTGGGCTTTGTTAATGGAATCTACCTTAGTTCCTTGCTCTTTAAAATTAGAATCAGCTGACCTCTGGAAAATGGTGAACATTTACTTCCTAAATATCTCTCAAATATACCAAACTCTTTTCATCTCTATTGCTGCCAAACTAGTTTGAGACACTATTTATTGCTACCGGGCCCACTGCAAATTGTCTCTTTCCTTCCACTCTTATTTTACCACAATTGGTTCTACACAGAGATTTTTAAAAAATAGCCTCATCAAGGCATATTTGACATGTAATAAACTACATATATTAAAGCCATACAAATGGTTAATTTTTTAAATTATTAATTATATATGTATAGACTCATGAAATCATCACCTAATCAAGACAGTGAAAATGTAAATCACTTGAAAAGTTTCTTCTGTAATTCCTCTCCACCTGTCCTATACTCCACCCTCTCAGGCAACTAATGATATGCTTTCTGTCAATATGGATTACTTTTGATTTTCCAGAATTTTATAGCAATGGAATCACAATACATACTTTTTGTCTTTTATCTTGCACTGAGCATAATGTCTTTGGTATCCATCTAAGCTATTGTACATACTACTACTTAGTTCTTTCTTCTTTATTGCTAAGCAGTATTCCATTGTGTTGCTACATCACAGTTTTGATTATCCATTTGCTTACTGATAGACATTTGAGTTCTTTCCAGTTTCAGGCTGTTACAAATAAAGTTGTTATGGATATTTATACAAAATCCTTCATATGGATTAATGCTTTCATTTCCCTTTGGTAATAAAATACTTATTTATGGAATGGGTGTGTCACAGTTCTAAGAAACTGACAAACTCTTCTGAAATTGTTATACCATTTTAAATTTTCATTTAAATTCTCTTATGAGAATTCCTGTTCTACACATCTTCACCAACACTTGGTATGATCAGTCTTTTTAATTTTTGCATTCTAATCTAGATGGATAAAGATTTTTCATTTAATTTGCATTTACCCAAAGAATAATGGTATACAGCACTCTCCATGTGTTTATTTTCCATTTGTACATTTTAAAATGAAGTCTCAAAATTTTTGTCTATTTTTAAAAATTAGTTTTTATTTTATTATGAATTTTTTGGTTATTTATGTACTCATCAAAGAAATACTACATCAAAATTTTGATTTAACAATGTTTTCTATCTGTAGTTTCATTGGTTTACCAGTGTCTCTTGATGAGCAGACAATTTTAATTCTGATGAAGTCCTATGTATTAATTTGTTCCCTTATATATTGTGCTTTTGGTATCAGATTTAAGAAATATTTTTCTAATCCAAGATCACATCACAAAGATTCTTATCTGTGTTTTCTTCTAGAAATTGTATAATTTTCAATTGTAAAATTAGGTGTATGATACATTTTGAGTTATTTTTTGTATGTAGATATTGGATTTTCTATATACAATGTCCTGCTTTAGGCACTATTCATTGAAAAGGCTATTGTTTACCCACATAAATTACCTTTGGACCTGTTCAGTTATCAATTATCAATAGATGTTTGTACGTAGGGGTCTTTTAGAAGATCTAATCTAGTTCTGCCATTTCCCTTCTTAAATTCTGTCATGGGCCTTCCCTTGCTCATAGTATAAAAGTTCAAAATTTTAACCACACCCTACATAATCTGG